GTCCTTCACATAGAGAATGACAGTGACAGAAGCTAAATGCTAGTGGCAGTTCTCCAGGTGGCTCTGTCGGTTTCCACACCCTGTGAAATCCTGATTAATTAAGTCTAGTCAGGCTTCCCTCACACTCTTACCACAAGAGACACAGTGCAAAATACACAAATACGGTAAACTGAGCTAGCAAATGTAAATGCAGCTATTTTCCATAAGCCATTTCTCTCAAGTCAACAACATCTTGTAGAATGGGTGGTATATCCATGGACAGACTCAGTATGGACTGAAAAGCAGCTCTTTATGTTCTAAATCTCTAATGTTAGTCTTAACTGTAAAAATGAAAATCTACGGTTAAGTCATACAAAAATAAACAACCTACAATTGTCAGTGTGGCTACTTCAACTTACAAACTGTACTGTACTGTATTTCAATAATATATCAGATGGTATAATAATAACTAATTATCTTTGCATTTTAAATACATGTGAAGGCCTCGTTATATCCCAAGCAAATTGAAGAAGGAACTGGTGTGACAACTGCCAAAGTGAACTTTCTAGAAAAAGTTTGCTGGAGAACTGCTTCATAGTATAAACTGAAGTTGTAATTCTAATTGAAAGCAACACAGACATCAATTTTTCATGTTTAACACTGTAAAGCTGCTTTTAAAGCAATCTTTTGTATAAAGTGCTATATAAATAAACATGACATGACGTGACTGGCGTGTTGAATTGCAGAGCTGATATCAAACATATACACATCGCTATGATCAGATGCTTTCTTAACCCCTGTTTTCTCTATCAGCTTTGTTGTGTTTATCTGTGTGTTAACTTCTTTTTATTCCTAAATGAAGAACAAAAAAATAACTATGCTTTATAAATGTATTAAATTTGTAGGAGTCACACCACATGAAATTTTACAACCTGAATTAACTTTGACTTGTCACAAAAATATCAAATTATCTGAGATTTTGCTTGACTGAACTGGGCACACAAATAAGGGTCTGCAGGGGTCCTCTCTATGATGGAATTTTCCTTTTTTTCTGCATGTTGGTGTCAAATTCTTCCCCAGTCGTGGCACCACCACTCCTCTCTACATGAAGTCTTTCTCTCCTGAATATTAACTCACCCTGTACTATAATGACCTGAAACTTTTGCTTCATGCCATCTTCTCCCACAACTGTTCTCAATTCACCTTATTAGCTTCTATATTCTGTTCAGTTTCACTTCAGTACACATTCTTACCAATTCTAGTTGTTTTGCAATTCTGAGTGTTATCTTTACCTTCAGCCTGCCTGTGTATTACATTACCTGTTTTCCTCGTTTACCCCTGCTGTCTCTTGATTTGGATTTGTTTGCTTTGTCAGAACTGTCTGTATGGTTACTGACCTCTGACAGTCTGAATACTCTAAATAAACTCAGCTAATGGTTGTACTTCGGAGTCTGACCCTGGTCTACACAGTTGGTTACACCACATGAAACTGAAATATACACTTTTTTTTTTACAATAAATAATCAGAAAAGTTTATGGCAAAGTACTTTAATGTTTTCTTTTCAAGAATCTAATTCATTTTGTGAGGACTTTGTCTTCACTATAATTTCTGGACAGTTGTATCACTGACATTTATTAAAAATATACAAATTAATTGTAATTTTTTTCAAATATTTTTGAATAAATTGATAGATTCGTAAAAAAAAAAAAATCTATATCCTGCGATTCACCAACAAAAATAAAGCACAAGCACTTTAAAGAAACTTATTAAAACTAAGTTCGTTTTTGTGCATTTTTACTTTATAAAATTTCTCAGGCCCAAATTCAAACTCAACCCAATTTATGTTTAATAAAAACAACCTTTTTAAAGTTTTGGAAAAATGGAAACAGTGACAGATCTTCTCTTCCATATTGTGATGTAAATTAGAGTCAGATTATTGAAAAAGAACAAAAAATTAGAACAGGGACTCTATCCATTAGTTGTTGATTGGATTGATGAGATGTGGTCGTTGCACTCAAATCTGAAACACATACATGGATGATTTGTTCAAAATAATTTTTTTTTACAAAATATAGGGGGTGACTTTCATTCCATGCCATATTTAATAGCACAGACCTTTGTCAATCTTTGCCATTTAGTTGATGCTTTAATCCAAAGTGCATTTGTTACAAGGACGGTCCTCAGGGAGTCACCAGGGGTTGAATTTGTTTGTTTAAAAGCAGGGTATACCATTGTGGTGGTCCTATTTATCATAAAAATAAATGGAATCAGTGTGTCGGGAATGCATATATACGGATGAACATAATAGAGCACCGGCTACATAGTCTAACAGGCTTATGAAAAGGAGAAAAATACAGCAAAGAAGAGAGAAAACTACCAGTTTAGAGACTGAATTGAAGACACTGAATACACAAGACAAAGCAGGGGGTTTTTTAGCTGCTGGGTGAAGCTGAAGCTCACACTGCCAGACTAATATGATTATTACACTCCGAACGGCCCCTTTACACATTCCAGACTGCATTCGGTTCCCTTAATGTAATCTCAATATGAAGCAGACTGCTGTGTTTCCTTTGAAATTCCTCCCCATGCCCCTGAGGCCTGGCTGTGTAATTTCACATAGTCTGCTGCTCCGCTCCAGCCGCAGGAAAACGTGGTGTGTTTTCCTAGTTCAGACTGACACCTATTACACAATGATGCAAAAAAGCCACCAAATTTCCTGGTGGAAAACACAGACAGAGCCAACATCTTCCTCTGGTTCTCTCTGATCACAAGTACAGAGCGAATTACCCATGGACACAAAGCTAAATCCAGTGTGACCTCAGTCGTCTGCTTCACTTTAATTAACAGACATACAGTACAGTGCTTCAAGATTTACCCATGGGGTGACATTTAACCTATATGTTGCATATTGCAGTCTGTAATAGCTAGTTAGCTGAAAATATATTTAAAGGTTTTTCCCACTGTGATAAACCCTGGGTTAACATCGTTTTTAACCCCCAGGCCACTTTTAACCTTGGGTTAAGCAACGTTTCACACTTTTAATTCTGAATGGGACTTAGCACTGGTGTTTTGCTCTAGGTAATGAAGTCTTAATCCATGCCCACGGATCGCCTACGATCTTTTTACAGTCCGCCTGATACATATTGCACACAAAAATGAAAAACAAAATTAATAAAAAAATAAATAAATTTAAAAAAAAATAACAGAAAATTAAGAAACTACTGCTCATGATTGTGAAAAGCTGGAAAAAAACACGTACATAGTACAGCATGCAG